CCAATAGTCTTGAGAAACAAAAGTATCACAGCTAATATGAGAAACAAATAAGTGACAAAATGGTCCTTTGAGCTGGAACTAGTTCGTCATTGAGTAATAGGTGGAAGTGGTTCTGGAGCTCCACCTGCTCTGATGCTTGTGGACTTACACAGGTCAACAACAGTAACAACAGTAAACATAAACTAAAAATAACGGTCTATTAAAAAGACAAAGGCACGTAAAGTTGTAAACAGTAAAGCTAGTGTAAAGTCAATCAAATCAAAGCATGATTTATTTCTTGCTCTAATAGTTTAGCACTACAGCAAACATTATAATGACTAGACGTTTTGAGCCAACTACAGACAAATATAAATTTATGCTTAGCTTGGCGGTTTCTGGACCTTCCCTGCTCTACTTATCTGCAATCTGTCCTCTGAAATCTAACTGCAGTGCAGAGCTCTCTTTCCATGTTTCTCTCCATCTCTTCAAATCTCTGCTGTTCCATCATCCAGTGTCTTCCCACAGCTCCAGTTCCATTAATCCACACTGACGTCCAAGTTCAGCAGGAGCCCATGATGCCCCCTCCCCCTCCAAACACATCCGGCCGTGGGACACAAATAACTACATGCAGTTCTGCGTAATGATACATAGTGGACCAAAAGCTGGAATTAGGCATGGGGGAAAATTGTGCTGCACACTCCCCTGCTGGGCTTCTCTCTGTTTCTCGCTTTCTCTCTCAATGTGGAGATGCTTGAAAACAGAGATGAAGGAGACCATAGGAAGAGAGAAACAAACAGACACAAATTGCCCCCACCAGCCCTCTGCTTCATCTCTGTTTCTCAGACACTCACTGGTGGTCAGATGAGTTTCGGAATCTAGTGCAGCACTGAGATCTGGTTTAACTTCACAAATACTTAAGTCTCCTCTATGTGGAGGTGTCAAAAGGGTGCTCTAAATCATCAGCCTCCCACTTTCTTTCCACATGTGTAATAGGAAGTGACTGAAGCTGCAATACATCAACTGGCCACCTGGGGCAGGTGTCAGAAAAGAGAATTTTCGCATTGACTTTAAGGTTGAAGCATGGTGGTTACTTTTTTATTCAAATCACAAAGTTTGACCTCTTTGAGGGATGATTCTATTTATTTCAATTTATAATAAGCTTAACCCTTGATTCACTCAGGCATCTTTGCTAACCCAATGTCCCGCTTCTATGTACCCTTCCTTCGCCTAATTATAATTAACTGGTAGGGGTGCTTTTGGATTGCTGGCTACACCCAATTTAGAATGAACTTCTCTAATTGCTCTGAATAACACTTCCAAAGATTTATGTTTCGTTTGCCATCAGTAGACAATTCTTAGTAGCCAACGATGCTTTTTTTAAACCATCTTCCAATTTCAGGGGACTGTTTTGGTAGAAAAGACATTAAGTGGACAAAGTGTGAACGTGGCTGACAATAGCCAAGGAGTTTAACCTTCACCACTTGAGAGTGGATTAAAACTGATTTATTTATTTTATACACCAAATATATTTTTTATTTAGTCACATTGATTTATAATAAGAACAACCAGACATTCAGAATGTGCTTAGACACCAGATCTGGAGCACACCTGCTTGTCCCGACTCAACTTAACCCAGGAGTTTACCAGGTCTGAAGTTTTTACAGAGTGCAGTCACACAATGTGTTTTTGTTGAAGGATCTTTACAGCAGCTCAGTTGTGGTGAGGGTCTCTGGAAATCCAAAGAGTGTACCTAAAGAGTAGTGAAAGTTTGAGAGTGTTGGATTTTAGGGAGCTGTTGGGGGTTTAATGTCAGGGTTTATGTCAGTTCTGGCAACATTTGTGATTCTCAGGTGGAGTTTAACCAGCCTTGAGTCTGGTCCGATGGATGAAGGTGCACTGTCCCGGTTTCCTCTGAGAACAGAGACGTTCTGTGTTTCACCAGCATCTGGACAAAATCAAGCTAGGCCAGACTTTAGAGAGAGAGAGAGAGAGAGAGAGAGAGAGAGAGAGAGAGGCCTCTGCTTCCTGCTGCTCCACAGCCTCTGCAGGTAAAGCAGAGTTCAACAGGAAATTTAATAACAAGGCACATAAATCATTGCTCACTTGCAAATTGCTCATTAATGTTTTGTCTGCTAATGTGTAGCAAAACGAGTCATAGATTTTTTTTAAATAATAAAATAGTTTAGTTTTTTTCCTTTAACTTTGACATCTTTTTTTAAATTCACACATGGGAGGAGCGAATTTGCATTTCTGTGATTTTTTTTTTATAATTTTGTTTTGTTAATATGGTGGTTTTTAAATATTACATTTTTATTGGATTAAGAACATGTTTTTGCATCTAACCCACTGCTAATTTACGACTTTAGTATTCATCGAAGTGTTCATTCCATACATTTCATAGTGGATTTTGTCCTAGTCATTAAGGACAGTGAAGGACACCGGATTAGATTCTGTAGGTTCTTTAAATGATAAATTCACTTGACAGTGTTTAAACCCAGAAGTCACTGAGGGAAGTGGTGTCGAGACCCTTAATGTTTTCTCTGGAGAAGACTGAACGGTGGAAGACGTGCAGGTGTTGGAATCTCTGGAGTCGAGGTGAGTAATAGAGGAGTAAAGACACAGGTACAGGAACCACAGGAGAACCAAGCAGTGAACTTTCAAGGTGAGTCAGGTGGTGTGAACTGTAGGTCTGACAACCATGGTGGAGAACAATTGGAAGTGTGCTGTGATTGGTTGCCAGCCTTGTTGAGGTGATTAGCTGCAGACGAGTTTAATGAGGGAAGATTGGTCTCTACAGAATCCATGCAAGATGTACTTCAACAATAAGAAGAAAATGATTACTAGGATTTTCACTTTCATGAATGAAGCAGTTTATTTGGGAACATAAAACAACTGTCACCTTTGTCTGGGTGCAGTTAGTTAAAAACACAAAATGAAAAAAACTCTAACCAAGTTTCTTTTTAAAGGGTTTGTTCAGCCAAAATGTCGTTGGATATTCTAAGTGTCAAGACGACTCTGTAATGAAGGGCACCACACACAAAACAAGATAAAACATTAACATGGAGGTAACAAATCTGATAACATTGTATGGAGGTAATAGAAGAAAGAAACTTGAATACCTGAGTGAGAGAGGGAGGAAGGATAAGAGACATATGGTAAAAATAATCAAAAATGAGAACTAAAATTTTACACACTTTTATAAACTAACTAAGATTATGATCTGCTGACATTTTAAGCAAGAGCCAAGTAGAGATAAATATCATATGGCAGGGTAGGAGATTTCGCAACGCCAATGTTTATATTTGAACTGACCCCTACCAACAAGCCCCTACACCAAAATGATTCATCCCGATTGCTCTACTGCACATGCCACATACACCAACGCAACACAACACAATCTACAAGTTCATCAAAGACCGGAATAACGCAGATAAATGCCTGGAGGAAGAAGACTTTTGAGCTCTTTTACAGCATCGGTCTACACAGTTTCCACATGACAGCTTCATGTGAGAGGCCTATCATTAAGCCAAGCACAATTTCCATATTCACGTCTCTAAATGTCAACATCCCTGTATTTTAGTGGCGGTTCTTTGTCGGTGACAGCTGTCAAGTCTTTATGAATTAGAATGTCAAGCTCAGCCTCTGTTTGTGTGATGCTGTTGTCATGGACACTGAGGTTCCACAAAGCAGCTCCTTCTTGAGGAGGTTCTCTGTGCACATGATGTGGGAAAGGATGTGTATGAACGATGAATCTGCTATTGTGATGTGAAACTCTTTATGTAACTTCATTATGTAAAGCAGCAGCTGTTAATTATTTATATTTACTCATTCATGTGGAATGGTAGGGTCATGTGGGGCCTTAGTGCTGTTTGATGGAGGTCATGTTTGGTGCTTTATGATGACATAACCAACATGATGGTAGTCAACCCCACACTGCAAATTTAAGGTGTTGACGATTCTGGGAATGAGGAAAGTGTGAAAGTTTGGAGTTAATTTCTTATTTTTGACTTTTTTGACTTTTTGACCGTGTTGATGTATTGTGATGCCTTTCTCAACATTTGAGTTGGGTTGTGTATCAATAATATTTTCAGCAGATGTTTTAAATCTTGATCTAGTAATGAACTTGACAACCAGGCACACCAGTCAAAACAGCCCAAAATGAAAAAATTAACTTTGATTTAAATGATGTTACATTTTTATGTTTATATTGGTGTAGCAACATATACTGCTCAACAAAAATGTCAAAATACATTTATTGGAGATATTTACCTCTAGTTTCAATAGACGTATTTTGACATTTTGAGATGTCAAAATATGCAAAACAAACAGGAAGTTACATCACAAACAGGAAGTGACAAACAAAAGAGTGTATAAAAAGTGCTCTCGTACAAGAGACACCTTCCTTTTTAATATATTTCCTTTACTAAATTTACTGTTGCTGCCCCCTAAAGGCTGGATGATATTACATGATTTAAAACAAATCAAACAAGACTTTGGTGTTCTTAGTTTTTTTTACATAAATGGTTTTTACCTTTTATTTTTTAATTTAGTTTTTTTTATTTGTGATCAATATTGTGGTGCATATCATATCATATACGTCACAGTGTGTATTGTTAATATTTTATGTTCAATCTGATCTAAATGTGTATTGGAGTTTATTTGATGGCCATAAAGGTGCACTCAGACTAAGTGGATTTTAATCACCAGGGAAAATAATAGAAAAAATATTTAAAATCCTATTTTCTGGTTGATTTCTGAGATAGAACATGGAATAGAGCACAAATAGAGCACAGGAAGTTACATTACAAATAGGAAGTTACAAATAAAGTAGCATAACCAGGTTCTTAGATTTTTGTCTTTGAGGGTTGCATGAGCTCTCACAGCTCTTCTTTCCCCCTACCCCATCTTCTTTGTATTCATTGTGTTTAGCTAATGTGTCTCTAATGTTTACGCTAAATAAAGCTGTATTTTCTGTTAGATCTTCTTATTCCTTGCTTTCAGAGTCTTCTTTTATATCTGTGGCAGTTGTGGCCTAGTGGATAAGGTGATTGATCGGAGATCAAAAGATCGCTGGTTCTATCCCCAGCTCCAGTGGGGTGAGTGTTGAAACTTTCTCCTTACTGTGGTGACCTAGAGCAAGTCACCAGTTACCACAGCTCCCTGGGTGCCGCAGCCATGGTGTTCATGGTGTGTTTATTCACTGCTGTGTAAATGCAGAGCACAAATTCCTTGTATGGGTCACTCCATACTTGGTCCTAACTTCACTTTCTTGGCCAGGTGTCGTACACTATGTGGAATTAATATTCATAATTATAAATGTTCTATTTTTTTTAGCAGTAAATGGATGTTATTTGTGTGTTTTTGGCTTCTTAACTGGTTCCAAATAAAATCTTTGAGTTTTTCAATGCTGTTTATTTAATGTTTGAATATGTCATTATTTCATCTCTGGTATTTTGAGAAGCACGTCATCTTTTCATTCAACTGCAAGCATTGAAAAACGTCTAAGATTTTCAATGTTATGTGCCTCTCTTCAGGCATCCATTAGTTATTCAGAGAGAAGAAAGTGATGTTCTATCCTTGACACGACTGCGTGAGCCCTAGTCTGCGTCCTTGTCCTGAATGCTGAATGTGAATGAAGGCACATTAGCTTAATCAGCAGAAATCAGGCCGCGCTCATCCACAGCTGCTGCACACCGCATGCAGAACAGACCAGTCTGGGTCTGCTCACCTCTAAATCAAAGCAAAGTACCACGCTTTTGTCTTTTGTACGTCTTTCAGCCCTCAGGCAGGCTTGCTTTAATCTGATAACCTGATCAAGATCTGCCTCTCACTGTAATGGAGGACTTGGATCATCTCCCAGGGCATCGTGGGATTTGTAGTCAGCACTCTTCTGACATCGTCTTTGAAAGTTGCTGTTGTCCCCAGACTTCCTCTGCGAGGTAACAGGATGAGGTTAATGAATAGCAAAGTGAATTAGTCCCCAATGGATACAGATTCCCAATTGGGCTCCATTCCTCATTCTCTCTTTCACACTGTGCAGTAGATTGAGACACAATGTGGTCCCAAAGAGGCTGATTACTCTTGCTGTAACCCAGGAGACTCCTCTGTCTTCGGCCAGGAAACTAGGATGGGAGAAGTGACGGGAAGTTGGAAAGGGATGCTAACTAATTAATTATAAGTGAGCTTGTGGGACTACAGAGTCTAAACTCCCTACACAAGAGTGTGAGTTTGTGTACAGTACATGTGAGAGCATTTGTGTAAATAACACACAGGTCCCTGTGAAGGGGTGCAGTTAATGGTTAGTTAACCAGTTGGCAACGGATTCTGGAGCAACTCGGATACCGGTAACAAATCGTGATCTCAGCTTTCAGTGAAGGATTCTGAATAGGCTGTTTTTTTTTGCCTTTTTCTTAACATTTGTATTTATTTGAAAATATTGTTCATTCAACGATCTTCTCAAGAAAGTAGAATGCATTGTAAGATTATTACTTTACTGAATTTCTAAAATTGAGCCGACACTTTTATGTAAACTTCTAAAACATGGTTTTAATAAATGGAAGTATTGGTTTTAATATATTTTGTGGAATGTAAATCCACATTTATGGGGGGGGAGTGAAGAGGATGAGGAGGTAAAGATACAAATTGAGATTCGCACAAATCTTCGGATGGCTTCACAGCAAGGTGCTCTTCGTCTGAGTCACTTCCTGCCAGAAGATGGCATGCACGGTACAACAGATGCACTCCACTCCACACAAGGAAACAGGAAAGAAAAAGTAGACGACAGAGAAGAACTCAAAGAACACATAGAAAAAAAGAGACGGTATAAATTGTAAAACTCTAAATGCAAAAGGTACATCTCCTTAGGTGTAGCAGCATTTCTCTATGTAGCTCTCCACATGAATTGGAATTGTTAGTGTGGGTTTTTCCTCCTGCAGCACTGGTTTTCCCACACATCTACAACGTCTAGTGCCCTTGACTAACCAAATATTCTAAAATGTTTTAAATGAATTAAAGTGATTAAACACAGTCATTATTACGTCCTTAAATTTCATTTAAATACTGTTTAGTTATGGCCAGAAAAACTTAGCTGAGACATTTTTTCCATTAAACATGCTCGTACTAGAACGAATCTACATTACGCTCATCCTTTGAGAAACATCTGCATCCAAGCGCTATGTAAAAAGATTCAACTTGACTTCTGTGTTTAAATAAACAAATCTGATGGTTTGTGACAGTTTACTAGATCACCGTAGCCCCCTGGTAAAAAATGCCCCAGGCACCACTGGTCCTTAACCCTTAGAAGTCTGAGGCCTTTAAGTGTTTTTACTACTTTGAAATTTGCTCTAATAAATGACATTTAAAACATTTTTGTGTGACAATGCTTGATTTCATTCCTCAGGTTAATTTTTTCTTACAAATGTTTAATTCCACAACAATCTTGAAACAAAAAATTCAATTGCAAATTTCAATTTTCAGTGCAAAACTTAAAAACTGAGAATGAAGCTTTTATGTTTTATAACAGAAATCAAAAGTGTTGAGACAAAATTAAAAACAAAAACATTGTGAAATTTGTTTTTAAAAGAAATCACGCAAACGGCTCCCAAAACCTTATTCACTGATTTAAACACTTTTTGTGCAATTTAGCTTTTTCATGCCAGAACTTTGAAAAACACAAGCCATCATACAGGTCTTGAACTTTTCAAACTTGTACTTTCACATTTTAATTAGTATTTCCTCACAATTTATTACTCTTTTAATGTTTGTTTAAAGCCAAAAATGAAACAATAAAACAATAGGGGGTCGTGTCATGCCTCCTTGGTTCAAAACCGCCAACAGTGTGATTGGCACACGCACCATTATGTGCATAAAATGGTTAAAGCTGTTTTGAGACTTTAAAATCTGGTAATTTAAGTTATTCCACCAGTTAGGTTGGTTAACACGCTAAATCAGAGCTAATTTGATAGCCCAAGTCTGTCAGAGGTTCTGTTTCAATTCTTTTAATCTTGCAGTAATTCTCCCACCTCTTTAATTGCTCCGACTGACTCTTTTCTTTAGTCACTTTGCTTCTGTGATGTGTCTGCTGCCCCTGGCAATTACGCCCTGCCATCTGAATGTTGTTTACTGCTGCTAACAATTCTGGTCAATAATAATGGCCTGTTTCTCTCACTCACTCTCTCTCTCCCTCTCTCTAACTGTGTCTCGGCTTCTTGTTCGAAAGTCTGTACTATGGCCATAAGCAGATGGAAAGAAGCAGGATCCATTTTCAGCTCTCTGCTCCCTCTTCATGATAATCCCCCATGATAAGACAGAGACCATTTTGCAGGGCTGGCTACACTTCAGTAGTTGCCAACAAGAGGCAGATCAGAAGATCCGGACAGTGTTTGATGTCTGACTGGTTCAAATGTTACTCTGTGTATTTGGAGTCTGCGCTTTGGTGCTGTAGCTTAGTGAAAAGCCAAAGTGGACCCCCAAGACACAGAATAGCACAGGCACTTTTTTCCTTCATCACTGCAGCTCTCAGAGAATCCATAACAAGGCTGAAATCCTTCTCCAACCCTTTTGGTTTTCAAGTAGTTACTGTACCAAAGTAGTTAATAAGATTCAAGATTCAATTGTTGTTTATTCACTCAGTATTTTTTCAGGTTAACATCTATGTGAAACACAAAATGAAGTCGCAATGGTGTAAACAGATTTGGTTGGATTTTTTAAACTCTCATGATTGCCAAATCTGCTTTAGCAACTGATGTTACTGACAATTTAATAATAAGGAGAGAAACAGGATTTGGGGAGTTTAAAAGAAGCCATTGGGTCCAGCATTGTGTGATTGTCCATTTTTTCGTGATTGACTATCCAGTTAAATTACCCACTCGTCTCAGAGAGATTCGTCAATCCTTGGAAAACATTCCAGTAATTAACTTGCCAAATGCATTCAGCCCTTCAAACCTGTCACAATTCTTGACAGTGCAATATCTAATGGATTCTTACATGATTGACAGCCTGTGTTTCCCACCTGAAAGGAAATCAAGTAAAATACATGATGTCTGCTCATATAGGTGATACTCCTTCACGTTCAGAGCATAGCGGATGATCTTTTTTTACACAATCTATTTGCATGGGAGTCCATTATCTGTATATTGTATTCAGAGAATGTATTTTCTAGAAACAGTGACTTTTTTTCTGCAAAATGCAAGCTTTACTTGTGGAGAGACTCGTCTACGGCAATCATCTCAGTAATATCGGACATCACAGATGGCACTCATTTTCTCATCTGATCCCTTCAACTCTAGAGATGGAGGATGCCTTGATTTGAGATGGAGAAAATGATAATGTTTCCATGGCTGATGTGTCACAGTATTGCGTTATATGTTTTTTAAACTGAACAACGTGAGAGGAGTATTCAGGGTAAAGGCTCTAGCAATGCAGGGCAGGGGTTGCATATGAAGGTGTATACTTCTTTTTTATTTCCATCAAAGCAGTTTGAAAGCCACCATCTATCATCTTCTAAAATGATGCCTGTCAGTGTGATGGTTGGACAATATTTTCTTGATTTTTGTTCCTGTCAGAGACACTTTCATTGGCTTGATGTCGCTTGTATTTGAGCTTAGATTTGAATTGACGAGAAAACATATTTTAATATCTTTGTCCAGCTTCTAGAAATGCGAATTTTTACGTTTTTGTGCTTGAATAAGTCAGAAATGCTGTGCATAACTAAAAGCCAAGTTCAACAACGATGTCTTTTACAGAGTAAGCACTAATTGGTACAAGACACAGCCTGTGGTCAGTCCAAACACAGTTTGCCCAAGCTTGCAGTTCTTGACAGGAAGAATCATGTTGGCAGATCCCATCATTCCCTTCTGGAGCTGGCCCAGGTCCCCTGCCAGTCGGCCCTGATCACAGGAGGCTTGCCTGTGGCTACCGGCGGGTCAGAAGGCTCAAACTGGCACTGGGAGGAAACGCAGGCATCTCCGGGGCCCAGGAGGCTCCACTGAGGATCAGATCATAGGAGATACTCACAGATGCCAGCTTGTTCATGTAGGGGGCAACCATCGTCCCCCCAGCATGACCATAGGCATTTTGACGGGGCACCGAGC